TGAGCTACTCGCGCCTCGACGCCGAGAAAAAAAACGGGGGGACGCGCGCTCGCCGCCCCCGCCGGGCCCCGTTGCGCCCCTAACCTAGCGCCCGGGCTCTTGGCGGAGCCCTGTCGGTGCGGCCCCCCACGGCGGGCGGAAAAGACCTGAGTTGTGAACCAAGTCGTTTTTCGGGAGCCAGGGTCCGACTCCCCTTGCAGGGAGTGATAGCCTGATCTTGTGCGCCCAGAGATCTCAAAGGGATTAAAACTGATCTCAAGTGATAGGACAAGTTCCCGAGTTCTGGATGATGGGCTGGCCGACTCCGGCAGGCGGCCCTTGCGTTTCCCTCGCGCTTTCAAATGTCCTGACGCCAACTTAGTACAGTGTTTAGTACTTGGGGCTCTAGCACTAGGCGAAAGCAGTTCTGAGTTCGGCAACACGATCTAAAGCTCCAGTGTCCAGTGTACGGCAGAATGAATTATTTTGACTTGGCTGGTAATTTGCCCCTACGCTGAAATCTGAGGGTTGATGTTGTAATTGAATCTTGGGTCACTAGCTGCAGTTGGTTTATAAATATCTACGCCTAATGTAACTACTCTTTAGTAGCAGACTTCCTGTAGCCCCGAGTTCAGAATTAAGTAAACATTTCCGTACGTAATCTTCATGCTTTCTTCCGAATTTACATCAACTAGTCAAGTTAATTCCACTACCCTATAGGCTGCAAAAGAAGTCAAACGGGGCACGTATATTATTACTATATTACATTTACTCTGTCCTTAAGCCGTCTTGCATCGTAAAAAAGCTTTCTGTTGAATTGTCTTTTTGCTCTTTGCTCAAATATTCTAGTGCCTTAATATAGTATGGTCCGGCAGTTGATGTAATAATAATAACTCCGCCTGATTTGGAGAGAAGAAAGTCTTGGTTAACTTTTTTTTTTTTTTTAAGAAAAGTTACGTTAAGTTTATGAGGAAATTAAAACATCCTGGTGCTGAGCAAATTTGTCAGTCCACTGTGTGTAATCTCAATCTGTAGGCTTTTGCAGCGTTCTGCCTCCATAGGGGAGTCTTTCAACATCCCTTTTTGAACCCTACGAAATGTTCCTTCTCCCCCTCCACAATAAAATTGCACTAACTAAATGCAGTAGCATTGATGGAGTGTCAAGTTTGGGAATAGAACCACACTTAATTGTCTAATATATTAGTCCATTTGTGTAAATTTTTGCACTCTTGTGATTTTGGGTATTATTTTCCTTTTGAAATTCTGGATGTCAGGTGGCATGTTTTACTTATTAAATAAGCTCCACATGCATTAAAAATTAAAATCCAGCAGGTCTGTAATTGAGCCAGGAGTAAAGCTCCCCCCCCCCCATGTTAGCATTGTGCTCCACAAACCATATTTTGCTTCTTAATTCATTTGTGCGATATGCAGTCATTAACTTCTAAATCTTACACATCATTTATGCTGTTTTAATGATATAGAGCTTATCCACAGAGTTGCTATCCTTTGTGATTTCCCGAATGCCAGGATTCATACTTTGTTTTTATTGGAAAGGAGATCTACAGAGAAGATAAATTGAGGATATAAGGTTACCCAAAGGAACTTACTATTTAAATCAGTGGTATGAGGAAGATTACAACAGAACTGTTTGTCCACATAGGAAAATGCTGCTTATTTAAAAGTAGTTGTAAAAGTCATCTTAGAGATTTGTTCAACCAGCATAAAATGTAGGAGCTGTAAAAGTTATCCTTAAGATGCATTCAAATTCTACAGTCTTTAGGATTTTGCTTTAGAGAACACACAAAAATGAGGACACCCACCTAAGACTTAAGAGGGGCTCGGGGAGTGGCGGAGGCCATCTGTGGCTGACAAGTGCCCCGAGGAGGAATCCTGTGGCAGAGCCTTGCACCATGGTTCCTGCTGACAGAAATTCACCTCTAGAGACTTTTTTTTGCTTCAGAGATGTTGCTGGTATTAAATTCACTCCATATTATCTACTTTATAAGCTCCATTTTATTTTTAAAACCAGAAACCTAGTTAACCACTTATCTACCTTACTTACCTATCTTGATTCCAGATGACTTTAGGCTCTTTTGCCAAAAATTAGGTCCTCCTTCAAACAACTAAGAATTGTCATAATTTAGTATTTGAAAAAGAGCATACAGGTTTAAGAAGTAATAATGGCAAGTAACGATGACTTTGCAGACCATGGATCATAACTAGATATATAGATTTGGCATGCCATATTTCAAACATCCCTAAACTTGATCTTCCCCGGCAGTATCTTTTTTGTTGTTGTTAGTCCTCACATGATATTTTTCCTCCATTGATTTTTTAGGGAGAGGGGAAGAGAGAGAGAAACATTGATGTGAGAGACCCATCAGTTGGTTGCCCACACCAGGACTGGTGCTGGAGATGGAACCTGCAACCCTTTGGTGCACAGGCTGATACCCTAACCGCTGAACCACACCAGCCAGGCTCCCTGGCAGTATCTTTGTGCATTTTCTCAGTGATTAGTATTTGGGTGCAAAAAAGTGGTATGGTATACAGACTGCTGACATATACCTCAAGAACAGTGATTTTTTTCCACACACAGTCTTCATTTTTTGTTGCCCTTAGAATATTCAGGGGCATAAATCCTCATTCCCTTTGAGAGTATATGGACTCCAATACAAAAGTTTCTTAAACTAAAAACACTAGTCCTCTATGTTTTTTGTTTTTTTTTTAATGTATTTTATTGATTTTTTACAGAGAGGAAGGGAGAGAGAGAGTTAGAAACATCGATGAGAGAGAAACATTGATCAGCTGCCTCCTGCACATCTCCCACTGGGGATGTGCCCACAACCCAGGTACATGCCCTTGACCGGAATCGAACCTGGGACCTTTCAGTTCGCAGGCCGACGCTCTATCCACTGAGCCAAACCAGCTAGGGCTGAGGTGTTATTTTGATAACCACAAATCTTTAGTCCTTTATATATTTTAGCAAATGTCTAAAAAAACACTGAGTGTTTTATTATTGGCTTAAGATATTTATGGAATGGGCCAGTTAATAAGATGACATTTTATCAGTCTTCATCATGTCCTAAGTTTGTTTTTCATTTTGTATGTACATTTGTGTGTATTTAGTATTCATAAAAATGACTTATGCTTCTGTTTTAGAATGGTCACGGACCCGGGGCCAAAGAACAAGATGCACTAGTGGACAGACTGCTGACCAAGGGCTTGAGAGCTGGATTCTGTTTTTCCTTTTCAAACTGACTTTGCAGCCACGGAGAGGTATACTTCCATTTCTTGGTCTTAAAAATAGAAGTAATAAAACCCTCCTTGGGTTGGAGGATTTGCTGGACCATTCTTGGGTATAGGAGACACAAGAGGGTGCGTGGTTGAGGGCATACAGGCTTTATGGTCAGAAAGTCCTCAGTTTGAAACTCTGTACTACCATATACTAGCTGGATGACACTGGGCAAGTTACTTAACCTTTCTATGCCTACAGCCCTCACTTGTGAAAGAATAACATTAATTACAGGATATTCTCAGAGTTGAGAATGTGGTAAAGCATTAAGTATCATTTTGGGACTGTACATAGAAAAAAGAACAGGAAATGGTGGCTACTTTGCTGTAGAAAACTTTGGAATATATATTTTTTGACAGTATTAGTTGAAGTCTTGGTAAATGACTTCAAGAGTCTGTTGCAGAAATTTGTAATTTTGAAGAGGAACAAACAGATGGAATCCTGTTCTTGGGGAATTTGGTATCCCGGATAAAAATGGTCCTAATTGAGTTAGCCTACCTAATGACCCATGCTTACATCAGAGTATTAGTTATAGTCGTTATCAATTTTTTTCTTAAAATTTGAAAGGGTCACTTAAAATTTATTGTGGCCTACACTTTCTGCTATAAAATATAATAGACATCAGAGGGAACTTAAAACAGGCTTCTCACAAATGTCAGGATCTGCTAGGCTTTGGATCTCATAAACAACAAAGGTAAGGTGTTGGGTGTGAAAATTCTATCTTCTCAGGCTACCACTAGAAAATGTGAAAATTGTTTAATTTCACTTATGTAGTGGCAAAAGGAGTGTAGAGGTGGAAATTACAAATGCTGAGATAAGGTGAACATATGAATCAATCATCTAAGTGACTACTAAGATTTTTCTTACAAACTATGCCTGAAGCATATAGAGAGGAAGAAGGGAATGAAAGCTCTACTATTCTTCAGATCTCTATTTTCCAAGTGGGCGTCTTGGTAGGTCCATAAGATGGGAAGGACAAGGTCTTTGTGCTGGTTTCCTGTCGTTCCAGAAATAACTTATACTCTACAGGTTCCTTTAGAAGTGTTGATACAAAATACATACTAATGAACTGCTGAAAAGAAAAACAAGACTGATTTGAAAAGCTATTGAGAAAACTAAATAGTTTGGGGAATGGGGTTGTAGAAACATGTTGGTCACTTTTAAGTGCTGTGACTAGTTTGATCCCTGTTTCTCAAACTGGGATATAAATACCCTTAGGGTACAAAGTGTATGATTCCTGGGTACTTGAAGCTACAAGATAAGCATGACCCGTCTTCTTGGAGCTTCAGTTGTGCTCATTGAGGGGGCGGTGAGTTGAGTAATTTAACTGGTAAGTAATTAAAATATTTTTTACATTGAAAGAGGTATATATTTTAGGAACAGATATGCACTCTGTAAGACTTAGTCTAAGATTACACAGGTCATCAAAATGGGGCATGAATGATTGGTGGTGGGAAGTGTTCTTTGTATAGGTACTACAGTAGAAACCTTTGAGAAGCAATACTTTTGAGCTATAGAACAGCTCTATCATCCAGCTTTTTAATTTTCCCCATAACATCCTACTGTGAAATGTAGATGTTAAATTGTATTAAATGGTGCTTGTTCGCTTGCATGCGTGTTCCTACACATGTGCGACATGCGCAAGAGCTCAGCACAGTTGATAGGCAGTTCTGGATAGCTAGACCAAGTCAGAAATATTGTCAAAAGAAAAGAGGAAGAATGAACAAAATCAGGTCTAAAACTATAAAATAAATTCTATAAAACAATTTTGAAAACATAACAGGTTAACTCAAGCATAATTAACAATTTATATAGCTTCTCCCCCCACCCCCACTTTGATAAGTAAAATAAAAATAAAATGTCTAAATTCTAAGCTATGGACCTTGCAGTTCCTAAGATTATTCAACAGCTTCTATTCTTAACTTTTATGTGTTTTGCTAATGTTACTTATGTTCCTCTTAATGTAAGTGGTACTTAAAAATTACATGATCTATAGTGATAATGCCTACTCTTTGAATACAGGTTTTATATTTGAACCTAATTGGTTCTTAGACATACCAAAGTGACTTTCTCTGAAATGATGTGAGTTGGATCAATCCAGATATTTAGATATCTGCAGTACTTACTGAACACTTGTAATGTGTTTGATCATACTTTGAGAGGTTTTTTAAAAAATGCAATACAAAAAAAGAAATTGTTAAGAATAAAAGTAAAGAAAAACCCAAACAAAAACCTGGCACATAGCAAGAGCTCAGTAAGTTTGAATGAATGAATGCCTAGGGCAGTGATGGCGAACCTCTGACACGTGTGTCAGAGGTGACACGCGAACTCATTTTTTTGGTTGATTTTTCTTTGTTAAATGGCATTTAAATATATAAAATAAATATCAAAAATATAAGTCTTTGTTTTACTATGGTTGCAAATATCAAAAAATTTCTATATGTGACACGGCACCAGAGTTAAGTTAGGGTTTTTTTTTTTCAAAATGCTGACACGCAGAGCTCAAAAGGTTTGCCATCACTGGCCTAGGGAATAAAATTAAACATTAAAACAGTAGTCAGAACAAAATAAAAAACTAGTATTGGTAGGATGGTTAGGTTTGGGGTGACTTTTCTTCATTTTCTATAGTTTGTATAATGTAATTATTTTATAAATGCGCCCCCCCCCCTTTTAATTAGATAAAGCAGAATTACCAAAAATTGGGAATAACAATATTGGGCCATAGGGGACTGATTAAATTGATACATCTATATAATAGGTTGTGATACAACCATTATATTATGCATAGATATATTATGTATAGAAATACATAAAGCAGCCCTAGCTGGTTTGTCTCAGTGGATAGAGCGTTGACCTGCTAACTGAAAGGTCCCAGGTTCGATTCTGGTCAAGAGCACATGCCCAGGTTGTGGGCTTGATCCCCAGTGGGGGACTTGCAGGAGGCAGCCCATCAATGATTCTCTCTCATCATGGATGTTTCTATCTCTCCCTCTTCCTTCCTTTCTGAAATCAATAAAAATATATATATTTTTTAAAAAAACATAAAGCAGATTGCCAAATAGTATGCACACTGTGTTCTCCCATGTGAGAGTAAATATGTGTGTGTATACAGTGTGTCCCCAAAAAATGTACACACACTTTTTTCCTGATAGCTCACTTGACGTTTCTTTTTAGATTTAACCCACTGGAATTAATAATATTCAAGTGTGTATACATTTTGGGGAGACACCCTGTATAGGGAGGGGACTATAGATATAAACCAGAATGCTTATATAAAACCTATAGGTTTATATTCTGGCTTATCTGAGTTTTCTCCTATTACCTGTATTGGTTTTTTTTTTCCTTGTTTGGGGGAGGATAATTGTAGCTGAGAACCAAGATATACATTGCTACCTGAATTAATCTAAAAACTTTTAGCTGACGCAATATTATTGAAAGCCTGTATTTTCATTGGAAGAGCCAAGTTTTTGGTTTTGTAGTTGTTTTTTTGGGGGGGGGGCGAGTACAAATTAATTCAGTAGGTTAAATAGGGAATGCTACATGCAGAGAGGGAAGATCAAGTATAAAAGCAAAAAAATATATAGCAGAATGTGACCATAAGGAAAGAGCTAGACCATGATTCCTCTTGTGTATTTTTTGTTGTTATTTTTAAATATATTTTTATTGATTTCAGAGAGGAAGGGAGAGGGAGAAAGAGATAGAAACATCAGTGATGAGAGAATCATTGATTGGCTGCCTCCTGCAAGTCCCCCCACTGGGGATCCAGCCCACAACCCAGACATGTGCCCTGACCTGGAAGCGAACTGTGACCTCCTGGTTCATAGGTCAACACTCAACCACTGAGTCATGTCAGCTGGGCTATTTCCTCTTGTTTTTGGTATATCACTAAAGAAGGGCTCATGGCATACTTATTTTTTAAATTTTTTATTTTAATTCTTTTACCAATATTCGTCATCTTTTTGTTATTTGCTCAAACCCAGTATACATGTATAGTGGTATCAAAATTGTTAACCTGAACTCCATGGGAAACAACTTTATTAATTATAATACAATGCTTATCTGTAGTTCTTTAGTCCTTAATCTTATAATTTCTACTCATTTCCAAGTTATTTAGGTACAATTTCCCCCTCTCTCTCCAATGAAGATATATATCTGTAACAGTGAGATTCTTTTTATTTTTATTTATTGCTGACTGTGTTATATTATTTTTATTTATTTATTTAAATATGTTTTTATTTATTTCAGAGAGGGAGAGAGATAGAAACATCGAATGATGAGAGAGAATCCTGCATGCCCCCTACTGGGGATTGACCCTGCAACCCGGTCATGTGCCCTTGACCGGTATTGAACCCGGGATCCTCAGTCCTGACTGACGTTCTATCCACGGAGCCAAACAGCTAGGGCTATATTCTTTTTAAAAGAAAATAAATTTATACCTCCTTCACCTATTTCTCCCACTCCCCACGACCCATCTCTGGCAACAACCAATTTTTCTTTTTTTTTTTTAATATATATTTTATTGATTTTTTACAGAGAGGAAGGGAGAGGGATAGAGAGTTAGAAACATCGATGAGAGAGAAACATCGATCAGCTGCCTCCTGCACACCCCCTCCTGGGGATGTGCCCGCAACCAAGGTACATGCCCTTGACCGGAATCGAACCTGGGACCTTTCAGTCCGCATGCCGACGCTCTATCCACTGAGCCAAACCTGTTAGGGCGCCAATTTTTCTTTTATACAATCTGTATTGTAAAAATTTTTTAAAGGAAAAAGGAATCCAGTACAATAGGAAGAAATACTGAAGCTTTCTGATACCCTATGTTAACTTCAAATTACTAGGAAGGTACTTCCTTATTGCTGGATGTTAACCTGTTCCTTTAAGGGCAGCAATCCTTTGGCTTTTTGCCTCTAATATTTCTCCTCCTATTCCCCATTGTTTTAATTATTTCTAACATAAGAGTAAATTGACTTTGAGTGAGAGCCAA